GGAGAAATTGAGCGATGATGAGTTGTAAGACTCCTCATTGGAGGAGCAGTGCGAGCAGCGGCCCCTATCCGTTGAAAACAGGAACCGGGAGCCCGAGCGGAGAGAGCGAGTGTAGAAACGGTAGAGAAGGTCGCGCTGAAGACTAGGTTGTTCGCGGTGGAAGGTGTGAGAGAGGTCGGGGAGAGGGATGGGTAAGGGGGAGGAGAGGGCGTGGATCCAGCGAGAGTCATGGTCGAGTGGGCGCCGCGTATAGAGGAGTTGTCGGATCGCGGCGAGGCTAGGGACACCGTCGCGAAGAACCTCCAGCCTCGCACCAAGCCCTGCACCTGTATGCAGCGGGCCAGCCACCCAATAGCCTTGGGTGTGAATCGCCACAACATCTTTGATATGGAATATCCCGGAACCAAGGGGATTACGCTCAAAAAAACCGTTTGGCAGTACCCGGTGGAGAACGAGATTGTTTGTAGGACAAGGGAGGGGGGGGAGTGTAGATTGGAGCTCGGGATGAAACAGTCACCTGGGGAGGGGGAAGCAAGGGAGGGGGCAAGAATCTCGTCTTGCCACGGCTTGGGAACTGCTTCAAGGACCGCACAGATGACTGGGTACAGGTCTTAGGATCGATGTGTGGGAGCTTTGTGACAAATTCACTTTCGGGGATGGGGCAGAGCCTGGCTACTGATACTTGGATAGTAGAAAAGGCTCATGCTTGGTGGTACCGAAAGGTCTTCCGTTGGGTTTGAGGATAAAGCGATTGAAAGCTATTGGTTCAGCAAGGAGGCACAAGGAGGAGATGGGCGGAGGGGCTACAGTGGAGGGAAGGGACAGGAAGTCCTTGAGTTCCACGAGAGCACGCGGAGGGATTGAAGGGGGTAGAATGTTGGCCGAAAAAATCAACTTGTGGGAGAGGAAGGCGTGAGAGCCAAAAGGGAGGGAGATTGCACATCGTGCGACTTCCTCAGAAGGTGTTGCACCAAAGCGGCGAAGGGCACGTTGGATCGTGAGGGCTTTAATCTGAGTGGATGGCCGGGTAGCGCCGAGGCCACCGTGGCGAGTCGAGTTATAAAGAATCCGGTATGGGATGATGGGCATGGCGAAGCCGGTTTCCTTAAACCGGGACGATGAGAGGAAGGTGCCCACCACTGTATCTAGTCTGGCAAGTATGTCAGGCGGAGGAGGTTGGAAGCGACCGGGAAAGGAGAGAACTGAGTTGAGGAAGGTGGATGCGATAGTTTTACGACACGTGGCGGTCGCGCGGAGTGCCGCTAAGAATTTGGTGGAGCGTTCTATGCGAGAAAGAGTGGTGGCCCAGGTGGTGGTGTTGGACAGGCTTTTATTGACAAAGATTCCGAGAATTCGTTCAGCTTCATTGGAAGCACGGATAGGGATTTGCCCTGCGTGGGTAATGAGGCGGTTCGGGATATTGAAAGGGATTATGGAACATTTACTCCAGTTGGGTCGTTCACCAGAAAGATCATAAGGTGTCTAGTAGCGGTTTCGAGGTCCTTGTCCGGCGAGAGGAACAGTGTAACATCGTCTGCGTAGCAGGCCATGAGGCGGTTGTTCGTGGCTGATAGCGCGAAGCCAGGGAGATACAAAGTCATGTAGCGGTGTAGAATCTCGATGGCGCAGACAAACAAGAGGGGGGCGAGTGGGCAGCCTTGCCGGATGCCGGTGCGCACTGGAAAGGGGGCACCTTCCATGATATTAACCGAGATGCGGGTGGAAGTGTTAGAGTGCATGAGACGGATCATTGATAAATTTCTTCGGGACGCCGAGGTGTGAGAGAGCCTGGAATAAGAAGGGCCGATCTAGCAAGTCGTAGGCCTTGCGGAAGTCTACCGTCAGGACGAGGAGGGGACTGTTTGTGAAGGTGGCCCAGTCCATGACATCCAGCGTATCGTTAATCGTGTCGCCTATCTTCCGGTGTTTGATGAAGGCCGTTTGAGAAGGGTGGATAAGGAGAGGAAGGAGTCGATGGAGACGGTTAGCCAAGCAGAGGGCTAGTACCTTGTAATCTGCGTTCATGAGGGTGATCGGGCGGAGATTGTCCAGTAGGGAGGCGTCCCCCTTTTGGGGAATGAGCACTGTATGACCGGAGAGCATGGAGGGGGGTAGGGAGGGGGGCATGGAGGCCTGGGCCAGGAGGGTCAAGAAGGCTGGAGAAAAACGAGGTTTGTACAGCCTGTAAAGTTCTCCAGGGAGTCCATCAGGACCAGGGGTCTTTCTGCGCGAGAGCTGGCTTAGAGCTTTGCCCACCTCAGGCAAGGAGAAGGGGGCTGCGAGTGCGGAAATGAGGGTAGGGGTGGGAGAGGAGCGAGGGATGTGTCGCCATAAGTCGGGGTTTGTAGAGGCGGATGGGACGCCGCTGTAAAGGGATTGGAAAAAACTGGAGTAGGCAGAGGTCATGGTATGAAGGTCGCTAATTATTTTCCCGTTGGGAAGGGTGATGGATGAGATGCAGGATGCTTTAATGCGGGAGTTGATTCCAGCGAGAAGAGATAAAATTCCCATCTCGCGATGTCCTTCGACCTTGAGTTTAGCTTTGAGAGCAAGTTAGCGGCCTTAGCGGAAGTGTATCTCGCGAGCTGTTGCTGGGCCTTGCACAGGCGAGCGGCGGACTCCGCGTCTAAAGGCGAAACTGCAGATTGTAGTTGGAGCTGGTTGATAAGGTGATTGAGGTGCTCAAGAGTCTTGTGCACCCGACGTTTTTCCTGGTTGGAGAACCTTTTGAGGCGCAGCGTAAGGGCAATTTTCCATGCATCCCATTCTTCCGGAGACGGGGAGGGAGGCAGGGCGGGGATGAGTTCTTCCAAGATTTTAGCGATGTATGGACGCGAGAGGAGGGACGGGCTAAGCCTCCATGGACGAGGGGCTCTAGAAAGGAGCTCGAACGGTAGGGAGCATAGTGGGGCGTAGGAGTGATCGGAGATGATGAGGGGGGTAAGGAGGTAGGGGGAGGCTGCAAGATAGTTTTGGAAGGAGGCGGAGATGTACATCCGGTCCAGCCGGGAGGCGGGTGGTGGTGCTGCAGGCGGGTGGACCATAGGGGGGGGGTGCAGCAGGTCGGGGTGTTGTGGGAGCAAAAACAGCAAGCGGAGGGACCGCAGATGCGGTTGTGGCGGGTCGGGGTGCTACGGGTCAGGGAGTGGCGCGAGGACGACCATAGTAAGAGTAAACGGTGGCGTTGGGGTGTAGTGCCCGGAAGGTGTCAACAAGCGAGTGTTCGGTCAGCAAAGCCTCGATAGTGGAGGCTTCGTTCCGTTCATGCCCGTACAGGGGGCGGTTGCGATCAGAAGGGTGGATAACTGAATTAAAGTCTCCTACGAGTAGGGTTGCAGATGCAGCTGAAGGAGAGTCCAGTACTGGAGCAAGGCGTGAGCGCCACCAGGGCCGTCTGTCAATGGCATGAGGCGGGGCGTATATAGCTATGAGTCTTATTTGCTCGTGGTGGAAGTTGATATCGACGGAGAGTAACCGACCGTCGGTTGAAGGCATATAAGAAGTGAGAGAGATGGATTTATTGAGTACGAGGATAGATATGCCAACGGGGGATGGGCGTGTACCTGACGAGGGTGTGTTACGATACCAGGCCATTGTGTGGGCAGAGGCATGGAGCGAAAGCGAAGGTCTAGCCTTTTCACATTGTCAGTGAGGCGGGTATCGACAAGTACGGCGATGTCAACGTTCCTTCCGTAAAAAGTAAGCCATCCTTTTAGAGCGTTCATTTTGAAAGGGGCGTTTATTCCGTTGATATTGATACAGAGTATTCTAAAACGTGTTATCATAGTGTCGAAGTTGATATCGACGGAGAGTAACCGACTGTCGGTTGAAGGCGTATAAGAAGTGAGAGAGATGGATTTATTGAATACGAGGATAGATATGCCACCGGGGGATGGGCGTGTACCTGACGAGGGTATGTTACGATACCGAGCCATTGTGTGGGCAGAGGCATGGGAGCGAAAGCGAAGGTCTAGCATTTTCACATTGTCAGTGAGGCGGGTATCGACAAGTACGGCGATGTCAACGTTCCTTCCGTAGAAAGTAAGCCATCCTTTTAGAGCGTTCATTTTGAAAGGGGCGTTTATTCCGTTGATGTTGATACTGAGTATTCTAAGATGTGTTATCATAGTAGATAAGGAAGAGCCCATCGCGCACCAAGGTGGGCGAATCCACGGGCTGACACGTAAGGGAGGGTGTGAGCTCTCCTATCTGTTACGTTATTGAGCATGTGACTCTGAAACATGTAGCAAGGTATATCATAACATAGTTTTGTGTTGAACAAACACGAATTAAGGCAGTAGCGAGACAACAATAGAAGTAAAAAGGCGGCCAGGGGCCACCGATCTGCAGCAAGGCAAAGAGATCGGCAGCCTGGGAGATAGCAACGAAGGCCGGAACAGGGTAGGGCACAGCGTGTCATGCTGTTGCACGCCATGGGGTGAAAGCAATAGCAGGGCAAGGGTACCATCCATAAACTATCCAACAGCCAATGATCTAGAGGGTCTATAACTGTTTCTGTCATTTCGCGCTATTTCAGCCAATGGGGTGGCGGCGTACCAGGTTTGTGAGCTCCACGAAGTTGGGGAATGGAAATACACCTGTTGCATGTTTTAGTCCCCCAAACCTGCCTGGTGAAGAGGGTCTATAACTGTTTCTGTCATTTCGCGCTATTTCGCGCACTTCGCCTCAGTCATTGTGGGCGTGTAACTTGAACGTGTAACACCCTGTATAAGTTAAACCAGAACAGTGCAGGGTGGCTGTGGTTGTTTGTTATATGATGTGTGTGTTACCAACTTGTGTATCCATGCGTGTAGCCCCCGATTACATAATCACTCACAATTTGGCACAATCATGCAACAGTTTCACTTAAGCCAATCCCAGCCTCACAGCTGCACACATGAAGCCTCCAATGGGGCTATTGACGGTGGAAAATTATGCACAAGATGTGCACAATTGTATACAGAGGAGAGTAAATCTTCTCTAAGGGGTCACAAACCCCTTCACAGAGTCATCCACTCTGCGGCATCAACATAGCCGTTCATGACAGCAGGCACGCCAGAGTCAATCAGCTGCTGGCAGGTTGGAGCAGGCGCATACATCCACGCAGGCAAAACGCGCCCGCGGCGACGAGGAGTGGTCGCCTGTGTAGTGGCGGCACATACATGTGCTGCCGTGGCCGTAGGGGACGCGGCAGGCAGGGGTGCGGGCGGCGGCGTCGTGTTCATGTTTAGCGCGGGGCTTGCGCGCTCCATGTGGTCGACTATCATGGGGTTCTTGATCTCGAAGAGCGCGCACAGGTTGCGCGGCGTGATGCCAGTGGCCCGTGCGTAGCCAATGAGCATCTCGCTTGCCACCCTTGCATAACGCCGAGCTTCGCGGCTCTCTGGGTTGTCGTCGTCGTACACCTCCTGCATGGAGGCGGGCGCCTCCCACGATGCTCCCGAATACGCCGTAGTGGGCTCCAGTGCGAGCGGGTCCTCGCCCGGTTCGACGCACGTAGGCACGTCGTCGTCGACCGCGACGAACTCGGCGGCTGGCATGGCGCTGGGCCCGAGGCCAAGACGCGCAATGATGATGCCGACATCCCCGAGCTCCTCATCGAGAGAGATGTCGAGGGTGGCATTCACACCGCTGGTGCAGAGGCCGGCCGCGCCCACGTGCGCGAGTTCCATGGCCCACGAATGCGGGAGACACCCCGTGCGCCACCAATACCTCTGAATGGTACGCGGGGACGTTCATCCATGCGTCCGAGAGCCACGCGATGACGTCGCGCACGTTCAGGTGGAATCGTGCCAGGACGCTCGTCGCGCTCGCATCCTGCCACAACGCAGTGAGTGCACGCAGCCAGTGCTGACGGTAGCGGGCTTTCGTCATTGCGATAAGCCCCTGGTCGAGCGGCTGCGTGAAGGTCGTCGTGTTGGGCGACAGGAAGACGAGCCGCACATTGCTGAGCAAGCGTGTGCGGAAGCCGAAAAGGTCTTCGGAGGTTGCATCTTCGCTCCTGAGATTGTGGCTACTAGCGTTGTCGAGGAGGACCACGATGTTACGGTCCTCCGCGTACATGGCGGCGTTGAGCTGCTCGATAAAATGTGTGAACAACTGCATAGGAAACAGACGCAAAATACGAAGAAAAAAAAATGTCACGGCAATGAAAGCGAATATGACATACTGTAATTGGGACATGACATGTAACAAAAGACACGGACGCATACTACTGCACGAAGTGACGCACCGCAAACATAAGGAACAAAATCCCTTCGGTAAAACGGAATGACGGTTGAGTGTAACAGGTTCAATGGTGAGCCATCGTAATCGGGAAGAAAATCCCGAGGCCTCTTCGCCTTACACATAATCAGGGGCAGGAAGACGTGGCTGCCCTCCACGTTCACGAGGAGGCCAACCGTGAGGCGATCCTTCGCAAGCTTACGCCGCGCCACACGCGCACCGCTGTAGGTCTTTCGCGGCAAAATCGACAGGATGCGACCCGTCTCGTCAAAGTTGAACACGTCGCGCGGGCGGACTGAGAGATATATGAGCAATTTCGGCAGCTGCTCCTTGCACGTATGCACGGCCGCGTAATCCTGGTCGGAGGCCTTGCTAGTGGCGCTGCAGTAACGAATGCCGTGGCGCCGCATGGCACGGCGAACCCACCCCACAGAGCAACGGAACGTAGCGGGAAGAGCCATCCCGCACGCAATGGTGGCCACATCGTCCCGGATTGTTGCCAGGTTGAGAGGAACGCCCGCCGACCCAGCGTTACGGATCCAGCGGACCATCGCTTGCTCCAATTTGGGGTAAGCGCTGCCACACACGCGGATGGTGTTGGTGTCAGGGGCGTTCGCAATCCATCACTCCGCTCCTTTCAAGACGCGACCTACGATCGAGCGATCCGGGCGAATCCCGTAGCGGGTGAAGCACCACTTTGCCAGGTTGACCTGGAGCGGGCGCGGGTTGCTAACATGATGCTGACAAATTGCTCGCTTGATATGCACAGCAAGCTGCGAGCGGCGGAACAAGCGAGGCATGGTTGGAATCTTAATTAGAGAAGACTGACTTCCATGTCTGTATGATACTCTACTTATGTGCATCGCTTGAAGGGTGAGCTGACATTGCGTGATTGTGCGGCGTGCGGGTTTTGTGTGGTAACATTTATGAGAGTGAATGTTGCCACAAAAGTGCTTGCAACACACACGGGTAACCAACACCACAGAGGGTGACGTGTTACAACCTGGCATAGATAAGTACAATGTGCTGTTATTCAACATGTACGGAGTTTAGGCTCAAATATGAGCGGCTGTAAATGGCACGAGTACCCATCACCTCTGAGTGTGACGTGTGTTTATTTGCTCGAGGTGATAGCCAGGGTGTTTATACACAGCATCGGCAACTTACACGTGGCGAAATGGAGGCGGGGGTTGTGCGTTTGGCGCACGTTGACCCGAGTCGACGTGGCGTACAGTCATGGGCGACATTATGTGCGACGTCAATTTAACGTCGCGCACAGTTTTCGCGGGGCATGGCCCTGTCCAAGAAACAGAAATGCTGAGGGACAACGTCTGCTGTTGCTAAGCTCACGTGTAGGTTTTGTCACCTCGCCACCCACGAGCAAGTGGAGCGGTGGGATTATAAGCAGGGTGCAACTGCCCGGTCCAAAATACACGTGTGCAGGCTTTCTAAAATGGGCAGGGCAATTTCGCGCGCAGTGGTTGAGAATCGTGGGTACCTACATGTACAGTGCGACTTCTTGCCTCGCTTAAAATTCTAAAAAGGGACAGTGCTACGAGTGCAATGGAAAGAAGTAACGAGGATTGCACTAGGTGTCAAACGAGTACAAAGTATGAGCAAAGGCATGAGCGAATACTTATAAGCAACTCATGCAAACGGTAATGCGGTGCGTGCGAGCTAGCTAGTGCTAGGCTGGCATCGAGGTTCGGGCTAGTCCCGAAGCGTAGGCCGACACGGTCGGGCCAGCGGTGCAAGGTTTAGTGAAACAGTGCGCGCGAAGTTGGCGAAGCCCTGTTAGCAGTAACGGGCGAACAACGGCTGTTGCTGTACGCGATGTTGAACGGCGCAGTAAGGAATGCCGAAAAAATCCTTGTTGGTACAACTGAAGGATCGAAATGGATAGGATAAGGTTGCTAAGTCAGGAGAAGACAATGAAGTCTTTGTAGTGACCTTGTTGATAATAGATTGAGAAGAACAAGATGATTAAGATAGAATTACAAAGGGGTTCAAATCGAAAAATCTAGCTAGCCATGTACTCTGTGGGGTACATTCCCGTATTCAACTGTATTCCATATCTACAGTAACTGCGACTATTGCCATACTTGACAGTTACCGTGTTGCATCGCGTAACCTCCAATACAGTTGTCTCTCAGTCAATAGTTGCGACTGTTGACTTACTGCGACTGTTGACCTTCGAGCTGTCGCGTGCTCTATACGAGCATATCGCGATACTGGTACAGTAACACTGCTTCGCTGTGAAGTGGTGCGCTAGAAGAGTACCTTCGGGAATGCTTATAATAACCTTTCGGTTATTCCAACACTCCCCTTTATTCCTGAAGTTGTGCCACGTGGGGATTTCTTCGAGATCCCGCAGAGGTCGGCGCAGTGCTGGAACTTCTGACGTGGCAGCTTCTTTGTCAGAAAATCGGCTGCCATGTCACCGGTTGGGCAGTACGTGAGCTTGACCTTGCCTTTGTCGATCTAGTCCTTGACGAAGAAGTATCTGAGTGCGATGTGTTTCGTGCGGTTCACGAAGCCGGACTTGTTCGCGATCTTGATCGTGCTTTGGTTGTCGCAGAGTAACGTGAAGTGCCCATTCATCCTTACTTTCGCTTCCTGCAGGAGTTCCATCAGGTACAGCCCTTCGCGAACAGCTGTGCTAGCGGCGATGAACTCGGCTTCAGCTGACAAAAGAATGATGAACTCTTGCTTTCGAGAGTTCCACGAGATGATTCCAGCAGGTTGAAGTTGAAAAATGAAGTCTGTGCGGGAGCATCTGTTGTCAATATCTCCCGCATGATCAGCATCTACGTAGCCGTGAATTTGCAGAGTGGCTGTCAAGTTGGCTTCGTAGGTGAGTCCGACGTCAAGGGTGGAGATGAAGTATTGGAGTGCTCGGCGTAGGTCTAGTAGATTCTCCCCTTCTGGTCAACGCAGATACTGCGCGAGCTGGCTTGCGACGTAGGAGAGATCCGACCGGCACGTGATGGCGGCAAACAGGAGACACCCCAGCTGTTGCTGATAGAGCCAATGGTTTTCGATGGAGAGCGCATGGTGTCAGGTTCGTGATTAGGAGGAGGAGTGCGCAAGGGGGTGGTGAGGTTGATGGGGGCGATTGCGAATTTCTTCGTGAGTGCTTCCGCGTACTTAGCAGCGGAGAGGGTGGATGGAGCCTCCGGACTGGGTGATGTTGAGTCCCAGGAACTGTGTGACGTTGTGGTTGATCTATTCTTCGAAGTGGTCAAGTAGGTCTGCGTCGTTGCTGGTATAAGGAAGGTTGTTGACGTAGGTGACAAGAAGGATGAAGTTGCCACGCGACTCCCTCCGATACATCCCTTGGTCGTGTGGTAGCTGTGCGAAACCGAGTTCCGTGAGAACGTTGTGCAGGTACTGCTTCCATAGACGAGGGGCTTGTTTTATGCCGTAGAGAGATTTCTGGAGGAGGCAGATGGCGTCGTCGCTTTCTTTGAGTGCGTGTGGTTGCTCAATGAAGATGATGGCGCCGACGGGTGCGTATAGGAATGCACTTCCGACATCGATCTGTCGGAAAGGCAGCTGCTTGACAGCAACAATGCAGATAAGGATGCGGACGGAGGTGTGTCGGCCGACCGGCATGAAGGTCTAGTCGTAATCCACCAGGTGAGTCTGCTCAAAGTCGCGGACCACCCATCGAGCTTTGTATTTGTCGATAGAGCCATCGCGAGGGTCTTGATTCTGAAGACCCATTTGCCGCTGAGAATTTTTCTCCCCTTTGCAGATGATCGGGGAACGAGCTTCCACGTCCCGCGGCGCTTCAGTGCTGCTACTTCTGCCGCCATTGCTGCCTTCCATTTCTTGCTGTCGGGTCTAGACAGGGCCTGGCGTACGGTGGTGGGCTCCTTGGGTGAGGTGTGGCGAACTGCGACGGCAAGACCGAGAATGCGGAGGCCGGTTTCGCTGGTCTTTTCGTAGTGAAGGCGGTCGTAGTCGTGGAAGCTGGTAACTTTGACGGCGTCGTTGTCGCTGTCCTGGCCAGAGCGGATGGTGTCTTGCGAAGGGTTTGGCGGTGGTAACTCGGCATTCGGAGATCGGCGGGCTGTGCTGTTGTAGTTGTGGGCTTCACGAGTTGTATCGCCGGGATCAAATTGGGAGACAGGTATGTATGTTGGAGTTTGGAATCGGCTTGTACGGGGGATGTTGGACGCGGAGTCAAATTGCGTGACATCTAGTGCGGCTGCATCCTCTGCCAGGTCCGCTTCATCGCGTGACGTGGCGAAGCTGCGGTGTCCCTCGAAAACTCTTTCCGGTGCCTTGTCAGCTACGCGGTGTTCCTTGAACAGTGTCAGGGCCAGCTTCTTGTAGAAGATAAAGTCACGTGATTTTGTTATTTTGTGTGTCGCGTAGTCCAGCACGATCCACGCCTTGTACTCATTCTCGAACCCGAGGTGAATTCCCCAGCGTGCCCGATCAGCAAAATTTCCGGTCCTCGCCATGTGTGGCCTGTACTGTACCATGCAGCCGAACACACGAAGTAGACGCGTGTCAGCTTTTCTGCCCGTCCAAGCCTTGTAAGAGGAGTTGTTGTTCTCGAGGCTTCGGGAGGATAGCAAGTTGTACAGCCAAACAGGGTGATTCATCGCAAATGGCCAATATCTGGTTGGGATGGCCGACTGCTTCATCAGGGCCCTCATTCTGGTGGCGAGACTTCGGTTTGTCCGTCCTGCTACTCTTTGCTGCTCGTGAGCATAGGACAGGGACACCAGGTGCTCAATCCCCTTCTTGGCGAAGGGTTCCTTAAACTCGGTTGAGAAGAACTCTGCTCCTCCGTCTGTTTGGTTTCAACTTCAGTCCCGATTGACGCTCCGCGCGCTTCATCTAAGCGATGAAGCATTCGAAGGCAAGGGAGCGACTGTCGGTGTTGACAGCCCAGACGTAGCGCGTGCTTGCGTCGATGAAGGTTAGCGTGTACTGCTCGCCGTCAAGCCCTTCTTGGCTAAGAATCATGAAGTCGCTGTAAACCTTTTTGAGTGGCTCGTAGCGTTCGTAGCCGGGAGGTAAGTCGGGGAAGGGCTTGTGAGCGAGTGACGCGGCGGGACAGACGAGGCATGGTGGGTCGTCTGAAGATGCCGTGAGGGTACCGCCTCTGGGAAGAAGCAGCGCTTCTGAGTCGAAGACTCCAGCGAGTGTGGCGTGTGAGGGGTGTCTGAGTCGTTGATGCCAAATTTCTGGTTCCGCGCGGTAGGCGATGGTTTTCTGGTAATATTTGTTTCTTGCTGCTTCATCCCTCTGCTCTGTGTCAGGTCTCTTGTCGGTGATGGCGTCCACGTCGGTTGCGAAGACTCGGACGGAGGAGCGTTCCAGAACTTCGTCGGGAACGCCGGCGATGTCATCCATGTCAGCAGCATGGACTGATTCGCCGATGACCAACAGTGGACTCGGGAGTCGGGCCGCCTCGAGCCATTCGGAGGTCGGAACTCCTTCCATCGGAACGCGATCGTAGAGGTATTCGTCGCCGGCGACTGGAATCAGTTGGTGTCATTGTTTCGGTGACGGGTTAAGGGTGTCATTGCTTCCTCTATAAGTTCAGGTAACTCTGCTACTCCCGCGAATTCATAAGTCATGTCTTCTGACCCTTCCCTTGTTTCTGGTGTGTCAGGAGCGTACTGGTTCGGGGGAGAGGAGGTCCGGCCCAGCTTGTACCGCGCGTCGCCCAGTATGGATCCATTTCTACCACAGCTGCGGGTGGGAGAGCTGGTTCCTCAGGGTAAGAAGACCATTTCCATTCGCTTGAAGTCGAGGTCCCCCAGCCACCTCCAGGAGC